ATATATATATATAATCCTAATTAGGATCATTGAAGGGCATTTGCAAGACATATGAGGTATTTGAGAAGTACTATGGGTTTATGTTTCAAATGAGACAAAATCCACTAATACTTATGTATATACATTTTGTGGTAATTTAGTTTGTTGGTTCTTTCGTTAGTATACCAAATTACTATCAATTTTCACCACTAGACCGATCTTAATGGTTTACCATATTATTGTTATATATAGTGATGAGTCTAGTTTCCATGGGAATATAAATATTTAAATATTTTCATTAATGCATCTATATATACTAAACATGAATGACTGGTTGATAACTATTCTGAAGCATAATGAGGCTTCCCGTTTTGTGGCAATAATTTGGTGTGCTTGAAAGTGGAGACACAATATGATTTTTGAACCTTCCCATTGATCTTTTAATCATGTCTTAAATATGATTCATTTAACTATGGTGGATCTGGACATTTATTGTCAAGGAAATAGAGTCCTCAAAGATGATGTTCTTCACTAAATGCCCTTTCTGACAGTGTTGTCAAACTAAATATAGATGGAGCATGGCTGAAGCTGTAAAACATTATGGGCATTGTTGGCATTCTTTGTGGCTACCAAGGGGAATGGTTGTTTGGTTTTCACCAAGGACTTGGAAGCAGTGACTCACTCCTTGTTGAGCTAGAGGCTCTTTACTAAGGTTTAATTCATGTATATCAATTAGGATTCAAGAGAGTGGAATGTAACGTTGAATGTCTAGAAGTAGTTCAAGTTATAATTAGGTGAGAGGAAACTCAAATCAACACCTACATGCATGTAATAGTCATTTAGGATATCAAGTAGATACTTTAGACAGACTCACAAGTGACTCTTAGTCACACCTTCACATAATAAACACCTTGACAGATTGTCTAAGCAAGCCTGGAGTTCGAAACCAACAAAACTCTAGGACGTTCACGACCCCATCTCATGAAGTCTTAGATACTTTTATTCTTGATTTAGCTTTTATAATTTAGTTGTCTTTTTTGCTTTGTGTTTTTTTTCCTTATTTCATTACTTTACCAAAAAAAAATGCTAAACATGAATACTATCTCATGCAAAAAAAAAACATTTTAAAACAAGAAAGTATTTTTTAAAAAAATTACTTATTTATTTTAATTTTATTTATCATATTTATTTATAAATTAAATCTTAATATTTTGTTATAATATAAATTATTTATTCTAAATTTAAATATAACTTATATATGTATATATAGATATAACATATAACATAAATATATTAATATTTATATAATTAAAATTTATATATCAAATTTAATCAATACATTGCCCATATTAAAATATCAGTGATATTATTACTACTATTCCTAAAATACATGTCTATTATACAACTTGTAATGGTAAGCAAGTGTATTTCCTATAAAAAGAAGTGTTAGTTTTTGGATGAGTTATGCTATTTGTACAAAGATTTTTTTTAAATGGACATTGTATTCATCTCGATAAAAACTTGTCTTGATAAAAATTTGTCTCGCACTCATTCTATATTCGTGCAAATATCTATTTAGTAGGTAACTACAAATTTTATAAATACTCGTGGATATTTATGAATATTCATGAATATTTGTGAATATCCACAAATATTTGTAAATATCCATGGATATTTGTAAATTATTTTTAAAATTAAAAATTGTTATAAATAACTTTAAATTTATATTTGATTCAAACATTAAAATATTAAAGATGATCAATTCATATTAATTTTTAAACATGTAATTAATAATAATTTTTTAAAAATATTAAAAATAATATAAAAAGTGTAAGATTAAAAATATTGATATTTAAATAATGTTATTTAGTGGGTAAAAAAATACTTATACTCATTATCTTCATATATCCATTTAAAATATCTATTATTCATGGATACCCACAAATATAGATAATTTTGTCGGTCCTAATGAGGCGTGAGCATAATTCTTTGATTTGACCGAAATCAAAGTTATCCGCGTGCAATTTTTTACTTCGGGTGGTTAATCTCGAATTTTCGAGATTTCGGGTTGGTTGATTCAGTTTGAAAGGGGTTTTGTCGGTGGGGCTCGCGTTAAAATATTTGAACCCGTCGATATCCAAACCCGACCTACACATAACAATTAAAAGGTATGTTGTGTTATTTCTTATAGTTGTAGAAACTAGAAACCCTAGTGCCACTAGTGCCACGAGAGTACTTGTATGAACCCTAGCACAGTTCATTCATCTTTGTCTACCACTGCATAATCGTTTCCTCCTCTCTATTTACTTCCACGAAGATGATCTGCTTGTCTCCTTCTAACACCACGAAGAATAGGTTTATTCGTCTTCTTCTTCTCCTGCATCATTATTAAATCTTCAATAGTTCAGATGACATTTTTGTTTGCACTGATATTTCCTTTTGTAAATGAATAATCTTTTTTAAAGTACAATGCTGCCATAAAAATAATCCTTTCATGAATCCTTATTTTGTAAAGGTGACAATCGCATTTTGGTTGGCCGAACAATGTCTATTGTTGCTTTTTGTTGTGGGTAAAAGTTAGGATTTCCTCCTCCTTTCATCAGGTATGGACCCTATTTTCCATCTCTTTTCCTTTCAAAGGCTAACTATTACAATACTCTTGTTGGTCAATCTCTATCTAACCCAAGGCTTTCAACTGCATTTGTGGCCAACCCGCATTCTGTGGAACTCAGGAACGCTGTTCTATTCACATCCATTGGGGCTTATGTTCTGTTTCATATGTGTGCACATATTTCAAATGTCTTTGTTTTGTTTTCTCTTTTAT